CCCCATGATTATTTTACCCCGTTTGGCTTTTCCCCTTGAGGTTTGTCAAGGACCCATATGGTGTTACAGCCTGAGAGACTGGGCGCCTGCTTGGTGTGGTGGGGCTAAGTGCCTCTGTCTTATTTTCAGCTGGTCTCTGTCCTACCCTAGTGATTCAGTTACTCTTGGTTGAAGTCACTGCTGTGGAGAAATACCAGCAATTAAGTCGGCCCGCCCCCCCCAAACAACAATTGGGCAAGGAAAATCAAACCTTCCCTCAACCACACACCCAGGGTGCCCCTTTGAATAGTCCTGGTGTGGTCTGCTCAGTTTAAGAGGTCCAAATCAGTTGTCCCAGTCAGCACCAGTTTCAGGTGGAAGAGTTCAAATGTCTCTGGCAGGTAGATAAGAGGGGTCTGCTCGTAGCTCAGATTAACGTGCTCCAGTGCTCTGTGAGGGCAAAGGGACTCACCCAGGAAATGGGTTAGTCTGGGGATGTTTATACCTCCTTCCCCACCTTGCATCCAGTCACTTATAATCCCCCATGTCTGTGACCCTATTCACTCCAGTAGGCAACTGCTCCCAGGGTTTACGACTGCAAAAGTCACCCAGAAGTGTGAGTCAAGCAGGTGGGCCTTGCATGTTTAAATTAGGCTGTGAAAGTTCTCTCAGTTCCAGCCCCTCACCTTCTGTCCCAGCTAAATTCCTCTGCAAGTCAGAGGCTGCTAGAGCTGATAAGGAACTCAACGCTGGGCAGCAAGCAATTAGAGTTTACACTCAGGTGTCAATTCCAGCCTCTGCCCTCCCACTGCCTTTGTCTCAGCTATATTCCCCTGAGGGCAAGGTACTTGCTGGGAAATCTGAGTCCAGTCTGGCAGGGGAAGAACTTAAGCTTTGGAAGTTCTCTCTCTTCCAGTCTTACACCTTCTGTCCCATCTAAATTCCTCTGCAAATCAGAGGCTGTTAAAGTCACTGGGAATTCTGAATCTGGCGGGGAAAGAATTTAGGCTGTGAATGTTCTGTCCATTTCAGCCCATACCTTCTGTCATGGCTATATTCCTCTGCAACTCATAGGCTGCTAGAGCTGATAAGGAACTCAGCTCTGGGCAGCAAGCAATTAGAGTTTACACTCAGGTGTCGATTCCAGCCCCTGCCTGCCCACTGCCTTTGTCTCAGCTATATTCCTCTGAGGGCTGGTGCTAATGGTCTCTTTACTTATGAAAGTTACCAAGTCCGTTCCGTCTGTGGCTGCTGTCTGGAACCTCTGGTTGCCTATCTGGAATGGTGTCAGTTAGCAGCTCAGGATGCCACTGTTGCTGTATGGCTTCCTCTGAGCCAACTTTCTTCTCCTCACTCCTGTGCCACAGAGTGGTCTGTGGTCTGCACAGAGCAGCACCAGCCCTTTCCCACTCCACTTCTCTCAAGGAGATGCCCAAGAATCTGGACTCCATAGGTAACAAACCTCCAGACCTTGGGGTTGGGGGAGGATCCTCAGAGTTCAATGTTGCAGGTGGGGAATATATACAGTTTTATATAGTTTTACAATTTTATGCCTGAGAGGAGGGTGCTGTCACATGCCAGCAAGGTTAGGTCTAGTTTTTAGGGGGGTCTCTCCCGTGGGATACAGTGGGAGGATGTCTGAACTCTGCTTGCTTGTTTGCATGGAGTAAACTGCAAGCCCTTCTTGTGGGGGAGGGGACTCCTGTCTGCTTGATGGTGGATTTTGTACCTTTTGATTGTATTTTTGGGATAACAGTTTGCCTCAGGAAGGTTGAAGTGCACTCTTCAATCTTCTCTCTTTGCTCCACTCCAAACCATCAGCTCCCTTGCTAAACTTCTGTCCTTTAAGTCTCCTTCTGGATGGGAGCCTCTGTAAAAAGCTGGGTGCAGTCTGCCATGTTAACATTGTATCTTATTAATGTGGTTTTAAAATGCTGCTCTCAGGAGCTGTATGCCAAGGATCAGAGTGCATCTGTCAGGGCTTACCATGGACTTGTTCCAGGAATTGATTTCCTTCAGGAATGCATACAGTTCAGGCCAACCCACTCCTGCTGAATTAACCCTTTTTTGCACAGGAGTTCAGAAAAGATGACAAAGGATGGTAGAATGAAAGATATGACTTGGAAGAAAAGAGAATGAAGAGGAGCTCAAAGTCAGACTTTATGTGCGGGCAAAATGACTGGGAAATGATGCTGAGAGCCCAGGGACAGACTGGGAGGCAGCCAGAGGAGGGAGATAAACAGGGCAGGTGCATGTTCCAGGAGTCAAAGGTGCAGGTGCCAAATTGGATGGTGTGGGCAGAGGCAGTGTTGGTTGTAGTGAAATAGGAGATTTTCAGCTTGTGGACTCAGGACGGGGGGTGAGGGGGAAGAAACAAGCACATTCCCCAAGAGAGTGGGTTCAGAACCTAGGATTGATCAGTCTCCTTTCTAGGCTTCCATCTTCATGTCAGAGAGAAATTTAAGTGACTTTCCACCTTGATAGAAATGACTGAATGGTACTGTGAGGAGGAATATGGGTGTCCCTAGGAGAGGACAATCTGGACCTCACAGCAGCCCTCCTTGCCTCACACCACCTTGTTTGTTGTCCCACCCACATGGGACAATAGAAATATCAACATATCCCTGAATCTTTTTATTTTCCTTTTGAAAAGTTAAAAATGAGAAACACTAAGAGAAGTAGAAGAAAAAGGAGAGACAACTCAAATAAGTAACAAAGAAAGTAAAAGAAAATATTACAAGTGATCCCTGCAGAATACAAAAGGAATGAAAGATGGTGGATCTGACATTTTCCAAAGTTGTCTCAGTCTTCCCAGCTCTCAATTAAATTCCTTGTCTCAGTACCTACCAAGTGAACTGAGAATAGAGCTGGTGGTGTTCAGGACAACACATCAAAATTTCCATCGCACGTATTTTGGTAAGAATATGAAACCCACTTTTGTTGAGTCTATAAGTTTTCCAGAAAAATTCAATAGATTTTGAGGCTAGATTCAGGCAAGTATGTGGCAACACTTTACTCTCCCCAAATATGCAACAATGAAGAATGAAAAACAGGTGTCAGGGAAGGGGGATTGAATTATCACCTGCATCTCTGAGGAAGGCAATATTCAGAATAAAATTCAAGTGTCCTGATTCTCAGCCCCACAATAAGACCTGAGTCACTGTCAGCAGAGGGGGCAGTCTGAGCTCCCTGTACACTGGGCAGCACCTGATATAGGGAGTGACATTTGGGGTCTCTGCAGGCTCTGAGCTGGGCAGGGTCAGCTCCCTCCTCAGACTCAGCAGTCAGGGAACTCTCTGCTCTTCCTTTGTGTCAGCGTAGTAGTTGTGTCTGGAGATAATGAAACTTACTCTACTCAAGACGTCTGGACATAGACAGAAACCAGTGGATATGAGAACCAATTCATCTCACAGTACATTTAACAATCCCTCATGTCAGTGGAAACACTGACCAGAAGGAAGTTAAGGAAAAATGCACCTGAGGTGAATGTGGAAATTACAATTGTCTGCAGACTACATGCTTGCTTTTACACACACACATATATATATGTTGTCTCCCATATATATATGTCGCCTGAGACGCTCATGTAAAACCATGCATTGTTTTATTAAAGTCCATGAACAGTGTCTGGCCATGAGAATTCACCTCTCATCCGCCCAACTACAGGGAGCTTCATGGACCAGACACCTGGCTGTCACCCTCTGTTATCCATCACTGGGTCTTTGCTAAAGACACACATCCTGTGGGTTGTTTCCAGGTGATGATCCAGCTTGGAAGTGATCTTAATAATAGTTACTTCTGGGCAATGCTGTAGGCATGTCAAGGACAACTGTGGATCAGGGAGGCACCAATGTCTGTCTGGCACTTTGCTTCCATTACAGTGTAGTTATGAATTTCCAGTCTCTTCTCCCCTTTCTCCTTCACTTGATGTCAGATGTGCACCCTGGGCTGACACTTCCTGAGCCTCACTTGGCTCCTGTGAATTTTTCTGCCTCCACAACTTACCAAGTCTTTTTAGGGCATTTGAGAATGATTTCTCTTATTATAAGAAACTGTTCAAGTGTCGGGACTTTGCTGGTGGGAATAAAGTTGTAAATCTTGTGACTCCACTGGGAGGCTCTCAGGGGAAACACTAAGATGCAGACAGAGCCCTAGAACTCCAGAGAAAACCAGGACTGAGCATCTCTGCACCTGCCCTGGGTGACTCCGCGCCTGTGTGCCGGACGCCCCCTGGCGGCCCCGCTCCGCAGGAGGTTCCTGTCTGGGCTCACACTGGGGTCCCCTCGCTGTGTCCCTCGTGCAGTAATACAAGGCTGTGTCCTCGGCTTTCAGATTAGTCATTTCAAGGGAGACTGTGTTTGTAGGGTTGTCTCTGGCGATTGTGAATCTCCCTTGTACTGATGGAGAGTACCACTGCTTGCTTCCAGATGGTTGACTCACTTCTGCCACCCACTCCAGCCCCTTCCCTGGAGCCTGGCGGACCCAGTTCATGCTGTAATCCGTGAAGGTGAATCCAGAGGCTGCACAGGAGAGTCTCAGGGAGCCCCCAGGCTGGACCAAGCCTCCCCCAGACTCCACCAGCTTCACCTCACACTGGACACCTGTAAACACAGAGACACCTGGTCAGAAACCTCGACACACACCCTCTGTTCTCTCTCTGACATCCACTCACACACTCTGAGTCTCCATTTCTGCATGAATACCTTGTAACAGAGCAATGAGGAGAAGCCAGCTCAGCCCAGACTCCATGGTGCACCGTCTGTGTTCAGTCCTGACCAGCCAGTGGGTAGAGTTGGGAGTCCCGGGGGTGGTGCTCCTCTCCCAGAGCTGCAGGGTCAGGGCTGGGCTGGTTTTTATGAGAAGAGGGTGGCCCTATTTGCATGTGCTCCTGCCATATAGAAGGTCTGGGATGGGACACTGAAGGAGGGCTGGGCTAGAGCTGGTGTGAGTGTGCTGGGGCAGGAATGTGACAAGGGGAACACTTGATAAAACACTAATTCTTTTTTTTTTTTTTATTGAATGG